ACCCCAGGACTCGCTCCCGGTATGTTGTCCCAGCTGCTTTCCCGCGGGTGATTTCGCCCATCACGGGCCGTTTCCCGGGAAAATGCCCCGCCGCCCCCAGGCGGCAGAGCCTCTCTCTGGCTTGGGACGGCAGCACCGCTGCCCCTACTGGCATCGCCCGCCACGGCGTCACCAGGCTCCTTCCTCTTCAACTCCATCACTACGCTCATCAGTTGCGATAACTGGCCCTCCAGCCTCGCAATCGCCGGATCCTCGGCGTGTTGCTGTTGCGTGGCTGAGGTCTCTTCCCCCAGCCCTGCGACGGAACCGCTGTCCGACGCAGACATGACCCGATGCGGCTATCCCTCGAGGGACAATCAACTCTAGAGTGTTTGTCGGCCGTACTCCGCGTACTTATCGGGACTTGTTTGTGTAGTGTATTAACTTCAGACGGTGAGACAACGCCCGTACCCAGGACGCTGTCGTGCTCGGAAAGCAGGAGGAGAAAGAGAGAGTGGCAGCGCGGCTGCTGCACTCAACAAAGGGGGTCCCGGTGCATCATCACCGTACCCCTACCTAAAAGGTTCTACACCATCTGCGTCACACTTGTACGTATGGCTAATGTATCCAAACCATGTCCGTAGACCCACGAACACCGACAGTGTCCCAAGCAAACACATGGATCTACTGGTGGTATATTCTACGTACCGGTGCGTGAGGAAAGCCCGGCATCTACCTCAATGGCGAAGCAGTCGAAAGCGAGTCTCGCCACTTTTGAACATTTTCTATCCGAACCCACACTATTCCACCCTTCCCGTCGCTCTCGCGCTGCATTTTCTCCCTGAAGTCTATGTAGCCGTCGCCCTCTTTGGCATTCTTGCGCCTGTTGAGTTCCTTGTCCATGAATTTCTTCAGAGCTTCGTACGAGACCCTCGTATCCCTTTGCAGGTCGGCGCCGGCAACCTCCTCCCCAGACACAACACGGGACAGCGCTTCCTCATCGAGAGTACAGTCTGCTACCTCCTCGACTGCCCCCTCTTTGACAGCCTGCAGGAATTCCGAGATATCCACGTCCAGCCCCGCCGTTGCTTTCAGCGCCACCTTCGCGGTTACCACGGCCACCTGGGGCCGGAGCGTGCGCAAAAACAAAACGAAGCATCTCTTTATTGGGTTGCAGCTAAGTCGCTCTCTGTAGGCAATTCATCCAATCAACAAGTTCGATACTCCGTATCACCATGGAACGTAATTGCACGCGTGTGAACTCTAAATACCTTTCAAAACAGAAAGAAAAACATCGGGACATGGGCTTCAGCCTTCATCGCCTAAATAGGTGCCACAACAATTTTTGTCTTACCTGCAGCACTGGCGAAAGTTTCTTGACCCAGCCACGCGTCTCGCGAAACCGATACCCTTCGCCATCGACCCCACACGGTACCTTGCTCATGTCGACCGGGAACAAGAAGTGCAGCGTCATGTCCTTCATGGCGATGCCACGAGCTTTGGTCAGCAAGCCCCTGTTCCCCTGAGTCTCGATTTCCTTCACGACCACAAGGTGCGGATAGGGGTAGTTCGGGCCCTGCAGGTTCTTGAGGCACATGAGGCTTTCCTGGATGCCTCCCTCGATTCGGCCCAAGATGCGGATCATTTGAGCCAAAACGTCCTCCCCGTTGGAGCCCGGCTGACAAGCACAAGATAGCAGCGGGAACTGGGTTAGTGTTGTGGCCTCTTCTTCACAACGAACACGGATGCAGATCAAATACGACTGCAGACAAAATTGTGCGTACATGGCATGCAACTTCCTGCACGAAAGCTAGCAAAGCGAGAAGCAAACGTGGGCAGATGCACGAAAACTGTTACGAATTATGATTCCACTTCCTTGTACCGTTGGGTATGTGCCTTCTTGTCAACCCACCCAACCGCACATACCGCAAATCAAACACCCCTAAAAAAGCGTTTGTCGTCTTGCGGCAAGGCCTGAGGCTGGGCGTGTACACCAAAAATGGGTGACCTCTTGGTGGATTGAGTACAGCGGGACGCATTCAAAGCCAGCCCAGTATGTTCAGTCAAGTAGGCAAACTGCGTCTTCGCAGACGGCACGAAGGTAGAAAAACATGATGGGCGAGAGCGGAATATTAGCGACAAACAAAACGGGCAATGAACCTTGTATCTTTCAACAAGGGACTTTCGGAGCGGGCTCGACAAGATTGGTGGTGGTGATGATGGTGGTACTTTTGAATTCGACGAGCACGGGGGTCGCGGCAATATTTGTACCTGTGCCATCGGCGAAGTGATTAAATCCAGGAAAACCAATGGACTTGAAAAACAAATCTATGAAAGCAATTGTTCCGTAAACCACAAACCCACCACAGCAAGAATTTCGTGGGGTCCGAAATTTCCTACGTATCGTGCCAAATCCTAAATCGAACGCGAACATGCACGCCGTGCTCACCGACAAATCAGAGAAGGAGTATCGGCCGTCCAGGGCGCCAAACCTTGCCCTGACCTCGTGGAAAATCACATCTGTAGGAGTGGTGGCGACGGAAATCAATGGAGAGGGTTAACCACATCTGACCGCCCTGCAGAATCCATGCGGTAGCCCAATGATCGGCCAGTGAAGTGTACTGCAACCGATTGAAGCCACACAGGGCTTGCGTATGTAAAAAGGCACACAAACGCGCTTGGCCCCTCGGGAGAGAGACTAAAACAAGGAGCCATCACTCACCCGCTTCAAGTCTACCAGACAAGCTGCTAAATACCTCGTTCACGCCCAATGTCGATCATAAGCAGAAGTTCAGTGGCCGCTGCTCCTTGCCCCCCAATCTTGGGACTGCATAGCGGGCATCCAGCGCTTTCCAGCAACAGTCTATCTCCTGCGCGAGTCGCCTGAGAAACGCAAAGATATACCGAAATCCGTGATTTGCAACAGCAGACAGTCAACCACCAAATCAAGCAGGAATTGGTAGCTCTGGTGCCAAAGCGCTTCTAATGTACTGTGCAACTGAGAAGCAAGTCCGGAACACGACCAAGAGAAAGTTCCGCACTCGGACCAGGTATATACGCGAGCAGCACACAGAGTACACGTCGTACGACGACGGCTAGATATAAACGTGGTAAATTGTGATTGCGGGCACGCCGGATTGCGTCCAATCCACGCAATATAGTGGAAACTCCCTAGAATGCTGGTGGGCATCCGTGCAATGTCAGAAAGCAAGGGCTCACCGTGGTGGTCAAGGGCATCGCGCCACCATGCTGAGGACACCTCAGAGAGCCCTTAGAATGCAGCCCTGGAAATTCCAACAGCATGACCCTCACGGCAGAGATGACGTACGAAAGCGCCACCCATGGGGCAGGATTGCTTGCATCGCCATACACCTGAGCGGTGAGCTCATTGCCGCTGGAAGAGTACTCTAAGACCACGGCGAAGATCCCGCTGCTACCTCCTCCGTCTCCAAAGCTGCCATGCACAAGCACCCCGAAGCGCCAAAACGCCCGCACACCACCTATGCTGCAGCACCGCGTCAACACCTTTTCGATCGCACCAGGCGGTACACCGAGGAAAAACTTCCAACTGGCGGCGAAGACAGCGGTGTTTTTCGAGCGGAATGTGTCCATCACTTTGCCCACACGCGCTGGGCGGCCGGACCTTAGCCGTAGCAAAGCTACCAGCCCCCCGGCGGGATTGTTTCCTAGCGAAAACCCCAAACCCAGCGACAGAAGGGTAGGGAGAACGTACTCGGACAAACCAGCAGGCCACATGGCTTGCGCCAACCTGGGTTCCAGGATGCCCTCACCCTTGAGCCTGCCCCACGAAGCGATGTCCAATGGATCGCGGAGGGTGATACACGTGTCGCCGGTGTCACCGAGCTTGACGGAGCCGTTGTAGCTCTCTTCATCCTTGTGATTGAGCAAGGGCTTGAGAACTCTGGCCAGCCAAACGACGTCCAGAAAGACGAACATCTCGTGGCGAACGAGGGATCCATCGAACTCTCTGCATGCACGGCGACGTGGAGGCATGCACAAAACGAGCGGCAAATTCGTCGTGGTTCTTGTGGGAAACGGAGTGCTGAACTGTTCTCGTAATCAAAATTGAATGCAAGAAACGCGGGAAGAGGGACCTTACTTGGAAATGCAGGTGAAAGGTATTCCCTGTTCTCGAAAGGATTCGAGCGTAGACTGGCGTCCAGAACAGTTGAGCGAAACAAACAACAAAACAAACATACGAGCTGGATCGGCGAGGAGTCCCTAAACAACGTGAAATGTTGAGAGAGCGGGTGCGCGGAAAGAATTTTCGAGATAGCAACTTCCGACATTCTCTACGTGATCAAGCATATCGAACAACGGCGTTGAGAAGGCAAAAACAGTCGTGCCAGCTTGCGCATTGGGGTCTTGTACCTGATCGACAGCGCTCCTTCCAACGCGTTCTCGGGGTTTGTAACCGCAATATCTCTTTTCGCAAGCTCACGAACCGTCTCGTTCCATTTGGCTTTTAGCTCCTCCATCGTGATTCCGTGGTATGCGTCTCCCTTGGCCTCTGCCAGTTCTACCGCTTCTCCTCCATCCGTGTCAGCCAACCTCCTCACGATCATCTCCACAGGATCCCTGCACAAGTCATATCAAGGATTAAGCGTTGGGCACGGGCTACGTCCAATTTCCGCGATGTTACACGTGACTCGAGTGCACACGAGGCAGACGCCGACGGAACGAGAGCGCGAGTTACAAACCTCTACACTCGCTGAGAAGTCTGACACCGATGTTGAGCTTGCCATCCGTGCTCAAGGGCTTCAAGGACAGTGAGGGCGATATCCCAGCTGCGAGGAAGCACCATCTGAGCTCCTCGAAGACCACTCCCGTCGCGCTTGTTCACGAGACGATGAAGCAAATTGGGCGAGGAATTCTCGTCCGCATTGTCCCGCCAGTCGCACGCCCAAGTTCCCTTCGAAGCGTGATTTCCCCTGCTGTCGTTTCCTTGTTTACAAAATCCGCTGCAGCAGACGCCGTCCTCCACCCTCACGCAGCAGCTCGTGAGGCAAACGCCGTCCTCCACCCTAACGGGCTGCATACCGTCGCGAACCCAGTCTGCCAACCACGTTCGACAGGCCTCTTCTATTCTACGGCCGGTTTCCCAAGCGTTTCCACCCGCTAGATCACACTTGGTGGCGACGAGGATGACATCAGGGTGGGTCCTACGTATTTTTTTTGGACTCGAACATCGAACATCGAACAAGCGGTGTAATCATGTGATTGGCCAGGAAGGTCCAACAGCCCAAAGAGATGTTCGGGTTTTCGAGTTTTTGTACGCCGGATCTTCCAGGGGCGATTCCGCCTAAAACTCTAACATCTTTCCACAAAAACTCGAAAACCTATACCTAACCTACAGTCCCGTGGGCTATTGGGACCGAATTGGCGACAAAAAAGAAAACCCGCACGCATGCATCACGCACGTGCACCCAACACACACCACCAAAAAACACAATCTCGGGGAGAGGGAGAACGACAGAGAGGTTTGCAGGACAGCAACAGCAATACCCATGTCTGCACAGAGCGACGACGAGTTTGCGCTGGATCCCAGGGCCCCGCGTGCACAAACGGGGCCAGGTGTGAGGTTAATCACACGGGGGTTCCTTCCCGTCGCAACCATACAGCATTGCTGGACAGCCAAACAGCTGCAGCAGTGTTGGTGTGAGTCGGCAGGGTCCCGCGGCAATGCATGTGGGCATCAGGCCGCAAGGGATGCCGGGGTTCCACCCCGCGGCTTCGAGCGCTAGCTACTATCAACCGGTGCTGTTTTTACTGGTGGGGCTGCTTCTTGTGCTCCTCCTCCTGGCGCCGTCCCTGTTCCTCGACACTCGTATCTTTTCGAGAGTCGAGTGCCCTTGGGTTTTCCGGGCGTGGTCAAACAACGCGGGCTGTTGAACGCAAAAACGTGTGTGTGTGGGATTTTTTTTCACGCTTTTTTGCAAATTTCAATGGACCCAAAAAGTCGAACTTCGAACTATCCGCTTGTTCGATGTTCGATGTTCGACTTTTCCAAAAATTACGTAGGACCCACCCTCATTGTCGGGAACCCGTCGAGAGATCGATCGCAGCCAATCGCACACGCACAAGTCTTCCAGCTTGCGACAGTCTTTGTCTACCTGACCACCGACCCCGTTACCCAAGTTATCGAACGCCTCCGCATTGCACACTAGCACGCAAACAGACCTTGGTGTCAGGAACATCTGCAGCAGCCCCGTGTAGGCGACCTGTCGAAATGTGCGTTATATCGAACAGACATAAAAAAAATAGCATATTACAATCCCCTGTGAATCATTTCCAGGAGCTTGAAAACCCAGCCAACTCCAGATCGAAACAATCAAGCCGAACTATTATCTGTCACCTGTCAGGCGCAGTCGTACACCCGAACCGATGCACCCTCTAGCACCATGGGCTCCACGTCTGCGAAAACCGTGCTGTTCTCTTTCCACTCGCCCGTAGGAGCTGCTTTGTTTGCCTTCATGCTCCGGCACAAGCTTCTCGGACATGCAGGGAAACACATCCGACGGTAATACGGAAAAATGAGTACGGGCTAAGGGATCATCGGGCATAGCGCTTTCAAGTGGACGTGGTCACTTTTTGAGGGCCAAAAATGTACTAAAGCACATACATTTACGCAACCCTAGCCAGTTTGATCGTACCTCCCAGCCCCAGTGCCTTGTCCGTCATGCCGAAGGCCGTACTTCGAGCGCGCAAGCGGCAGGATACACAAGATCAAGGGAGCTATCGCTTTGCACAGACGGCTTCCACATACTTCAGGCGAGTATCTGAGAAGCTTCGTATGCAACGCTGCTGCATATTCCAAAAACGGGTTTGTTACACCAACCGTCAGGGAGTTCGTAGTAAACGTGGCCGATAGCAGGATCATTTCTCACCTCGTTTTCCCCGCACCTTCCTGCCCGACTAGAATGACCTTGACGCTATTGCGCTGGATCCGGCAGGGTTCAGAAAAGAGGTCCTCAAAATATCCTCTGATGCCCTTCGCTCCTTTGGCAACGATGGGCTCTGGCGGCTCGGCTCATGGATTATTGCCGAGCTGGGGGGAACCAGCACCATCCAAGACATCCAGCAACCGGCGCAGGTGGCTAGGAACCGGTCCTCCTACCGCGTAACGTGACGTATGCCAATTTGAAAGCATGGTGAACAAATCGCTCGAGCCATGGTTGATCAAACGCTGAAAGCCTCAAACACCAAAAACAATTACCCTTGGTAGTAGGTGGTATGTGACACGTGACTACGTCGGGTTAGGGTTGCCGAAAGAGACATGAGTAATGCAACGTGTGTGGCACAGTGCGCCCCGAAACCGGCGTATCCGTAGTAGAGCAGAAGTTCCAAGTCCAAAAGTGTGTTGCGAAAGGGAAGCTGTAGGTAAGGGGACGAGCTATCAGGCCTACGTGCGTACCGCCAATTGCTCTAGTGGATACCTTTTGACAACCAAACAAAGCACCTCGACTGGCCGAGATTGGTTCTGAAAATCCGGGCACGAAAAGCGGACACTGCTGGTGAGAACGACACACAACAGGTCACCGGTGTGAACACCATATGTGGGAATACCTGACTCGCTGTTGGTTCCTTCCTCGTGGCCGACACCATCTATGTCTTGGGTGTGGTCCCAAAAAGCTGTCAAGAAAGCGATCAGAGAGGAAAAATGCAGACGGCCAACACAAAGCCGCGGGGTCAGTTTTACAAGGACAAGCAAAAATATGAGTCCTATCACAGGCACCAGCTTTTATTGAGATGTTCGTGACGTAGAAAGCCCCGTAAAGTTACTGAGATAAAAAAAAAAATTGAAGGGGACATCCGCATTAAGCCCGAGAAACGCCCACTGACGCTGATGCTAGCGATTTGACATCTTCAACAACTCTGCTTTCGTAGTCTCGTTCAGGAAGATGTGTCCTGCCAACGCGTTGGCGGGACAAGATCTACGGAGATCGACAAAACCCAGCGGGCAATTTCTTATTATTCCCCCGTGTGTGGGATAAATCTTCTGCGCACAGGCTCCATCCCGAAGGAGCTGGGAGATCTACGAGAGCTGCGGGAGCTGTGGCTCCGAAGCAACCGGCTCACAGGTAACCTTTAAAATTAACAGTGGTTTGAATATTTTTGGATGAACCTTGCCGACGCGTTGGCGGGACACATACTTGAATTGTGCCGGTTATTTTCATTTCTCTTGCTGCAGCACTCCTCTCACCGGTTAGCTGGTTGTGGCTCAGCCACAGCTCCTCCAGCTTGCTAAGATTTTCCAGCGCCTCGGGAATGGGCCCTGCAGCAAGAGAAAAAAAATCGACATTTGGAATGTATAGAAAGTCGCGCCCACCTACTCGCCTACGTGTAGCAAAAGATGTCCCGCGAGTTCCGAACTTGCGAAATTTCGTACTCGCCTACGCGTAGGCGAGTAGCCTTCTAGAAGCTCATTTACATAATTTTGGCCCCCGTTCAATTCGCACTTTCTGCACATTACAGGCCCCATCCCAACGGAGCTTGGAAACCTTCGAGAGCTCAAGAGGCTGTGGCTCGACAACAACCGGCTAACAGGTAACCCGTGTTGGCGGTCGTTTTTCTTTTTTCTCAAAGAATTTCATGGATGAACCCTGCCGATGCGTAGGCGAGTACGAAATTTCAGAACTCGCGGGATAACTTTTCTGTACCCTGCTCAACTGCCCTGCGTTGACTCCCTCATCTACAGGGCATATCCCGCCGCAGCTAGGAAATCTTGGCGCCCTCGAGTCTCTCAGCCTCGCCAACAACAAGTTATATGGTGAGTTAAACACATCGATTTGCGTTATATTTTCTTGCGCGTAATGACCATGCATGAATCCCGCGGCGTCCTCTTGGAAATAGAGAGACGGGTTCTTTTTCTAATTTCTTAGTTTGACGGGACCGATGTTCTAGAACACGGGGGATTTATTTTTTCTTTACCCCGCCTTATTGCCCTGCTTTCACTTGTTCACGTACAGGCCACATCCCACCGGAGCTGGGAGAGCTCGCAGCACTGAAGACGCTCAATCTTCAGTGGAATCAACTATCTGGTAAGACGTGAGCGAAAAAATCAGAATATGTTTCGCTATACTACACGTGAATGGACGCCAACTACGCGTGGGCGGGACACATGCACATGTTCGGCAAAAAATTAGAAAATTATTCAACTTGTATCACTATCTCTCACCGCGGAGCTGATTGTTGGACAGGCTGACTGAGCCACGTGACCTCAGTGAGAGCGCCGAGCTGCGCCGGGATCGCACCTGCAGAAGAGTATTACATATTTGCGGGGGAAAAAAAAATATCACCCGCCTCTCTATTTTCGAGACAACTTATCTCCGGAGATTGTGTCCCGCCAACGCAGTTGGCGTCCTCTTGAAAATAGAGAGGCAGGTTGGCGTCCCCTTACGAGCGTCGGAGGGATTTACTCTTGAAAATTATACCAGTTTCTTACCAGATAGTTGATTCAATTGAAATTCCAGCGTTTCCAGTGCTGCGAGCTTTCCCAGCTCCGGAGGGATGGGGCCTGACGTCGACAGTTCAATCAAGTACATGCAAGTTTGAGGGAATATTGAAACAAAAACTCATACTACTTATAGTCTAGATGTGAGTGGACGCCAAAACAATGTTCTAGATGCTGGATAACAACAAACACGTGTCGATGTTTCGTTTTTTCTGTGTGGCTCTCATGTGCAGGGCCCATACCCAAGGAACTCGGAGCCCTGAGCGCATTGCGAGAGCTTCGGCTTTAACTTTACAGTAACCAGCTTTCTGGTGAGGAAAGTGCAAATATCATTTCTACTCTTTCGCCTTCTGTAGAAAAGTTCATGGACGCCAACTAGTTGGCGTCATCTACGTGTAGTGTTCTAGAAGCCGGCGGAAGTGTATGTGTTGTCCGTGACCCAAACTCCGTATTGGCGCTTGCAGGTCACATCCCGCCGGAGCTGGGAGCTCTCAGCGAGCTGCAGAAGCTCCTCCTCTACGGCAACAAGCTTACAGGTACGTAGTTGTTATATGTGCGAACTGGTCCAATGACTAAAAAGATGCATGGACGCCAACCACGTGGACGCCAACTAACAAAAAAGAAAGAATAACCCGCTACTCTAATTTCAAGTGGACACCAACGCGTGCGCGGGACACATGCTCTCGAAAGTTGTCAGTCTTGCAAAGAAACCAAAATTATGTCTTGTTTCATGCTGCTCCTGCAGGTCACATTCCCGAGGAGCTAGGAGCTCTCATCGAGCTTACTGTACGGAGCTTGGTTTGTCCGACAACCAGATCACGGATGGGAACTATCGAATGGTCGGCATGTTTTCTAGAAGAAGTTTTCTAGATGTCGGTGAGTAGGTGCTGTTCTAGAAGGGAGAGGGACAAATATTCTTGAATCCCGCATCTAGTCTTAAATATCGAAAATAATAGGGGAAATCTACAAAGACCTGTCAATCTCCACTGGACTGCCGACAAACATTACGCAACCTTCGCGACTCTTTTGGAACATGTCTGGGACAAGCGAGACTGGATGGATGTCTGCCAGGAAACCAGCCACTAAACCGACCGGGCCGGTGCGGAACGGCTTCGTGGTCGAGAACGTTCCAACGTACGACAAGAGACGCATCCGAGCCTTGCAAAACAAGCGATACCGGAGGTCCTCCGTGTACCAGAAGCACCTACAAGCCAGGAAAACTGATTTGGTCTACAGGTGGCGAGTGTTCAAGGAGCAGCATGCAGGAGAAATATTGAGGTGTCGATTAACTTCGACGAGTACAGCAGCATCGTACGCACTGCCTGCCGGTACTGTGGCCAATATACATACAGGATATTCAGGGGTAGACCGCGAGCAGAACGCGGGAACGTACGAAAATGAAAACGTTGTAGCTTGCTGTAAAACGTGCAATTTCATGAAAGGGCCACTCTCAGTCATCGAATTCTTGGGGAAGGTCAAGCACATTGCGAGACAGAAGCACGCCTTTATAGACTAAACCGGGGCCAGGGATAGACCCACAACACGGCCCTGGTCGTTGGTAGAAGGAGGGCGGGAAAGCCGACGTACTGCTTCTTCCTGGACGTGAAAAAGGCATACGACACCGTATGGAGAAATGGGTTGTGGAAACAACTGTCCAAATACGGGATCAAGGGGAAATTGTGGAGAGTGCTGAAGAAGATGACAGAGTGTACGAACAGCGCGGTCATGCTAGACGGATAACTGTCAAAATTCTTCGACATTGAGCAGGGGGTCCCACAAGGTTGCACGCTGTCCCCAACATTGTTCCAGGTGTTCATCAACGATCTGTTGGAAGTCGTAGAGGCAGTCCGGAAGGGAGTAAAAGTAGGGGACAC